TTCCTTCCTTCCTTCCTTCCTTCCTTCCTTCCTTCCTTCCTTCCTTCTCTCTCTCTCTCTCTCTCTCTCTCTCTCTCCCCCCCTTCTTTCCTTCTTTCCCTCCCTCCCTCCATCTCTCCCTCCTTCCTCCTTTCCCTTTCCCTTTCCCTTCTTTTTTCGAGGCAGGGTCTCACTTTGTTTCCCAGGCTGGAGTACAGTGGCACAATCTTGGCTCACTCACTGCAGCCTCTACCTCCTGGGCTCAAGTAATACTCCCACCTCAGCCTCCTGAGTGGCTGGGACTACAGGTGTATACCACCACACCTAACTAATTTTTTTTATTTTTTGTAGAGACAGAGTTTTGTCGTGTTGTCCAGACTGGTCTCAAAGTCCTGGGCTCAAGCTATGCACCCACCTTGGCCTTCCAGGTGTGAGCCACCATGCCCAGCCACAAGTATTATCTTTCATTGCCTAGAATAGTTTATGGGGATTCAAAGAGCTTATTGATAAAAACATGTTTGTTTCATCTAAGATATGATATAAAATACCATATAGCTACTTGTGAGTACCACTCAGTCAGACTTTGGATGGTCTATAATAGGAAACTCTTGAGGTTCTTAAATTAGACATTTTTAAATTTTATTAAGGCAACTTTTATAGCAAAAGCTGGGAATAACCTCCAACCCCATGCATTTTCCCTTTTATAGTTCAGACCTTCATTTTAACTGCCTTAATTATATACCCATTAAAAAAATCTTATATCCTCATGAAGGTTAATTTAATAAAAGTTAAAGGCCTTCATCCTATAGAGCCTCAGTTCCCTCTTCTCTTAGGTGAGGATACTAGGAATTGCCCTGCTTAACTCATAGGGATTTTTCTGAAATAGAGACTTTCACAGTGCGCAGAATAGCAACATGATACTTTATGTGCCCAACTCCCAGCTTCAGCAGTTACCAAAACGTGCCCAGTCTTCATGCATCCCGCTGCCTTCCCTTACCTTGCTCTTGTGGATTCTGAAGCAAATCGCAATTGTATTTTCATTTTATTCATAAATACTTCCCTGTCAGTCTTTAAAAGATACTTTAACCACTAGAACATGATCACTAGCAAAGAAATTAATAGACATTCTTTAATATCAGATATTCAATTAATATTCAGATTTCTCTCATGGTTGGTTTGAAAGACAAAACAGCATATGCAGGATGACAAAGGAAACTATAAAGAATCTGGAAATTGTTATTAAGTGACTGTATTTGGTATGCCAGAAAACAATAGCTTGCCTCTTGTTTCCTAAATTATTTGTTATAACATTTGCTTTTACAGAAATTATCAAAGAGAGGCAGGCAGTGTGGCCTAGGGCAGGGGAATAGACTTTTGGGTTCTAAGCTCTGCTAATTGGTAACCATGTGACTTTGGTCATGTTACTTAATCTCTTTGGTCTTTAGTTTCCTTTATTATAACATGAAACTAAAAATTCTTGCAGGGTTATTACAAGTATTAATTTAGATATCATATGTATAATACCTGGGATTACATAGTTGTAGCTCAGTAGATTATGAATATTATGTGATTGTAGTGCATTAGTAATAATAATAGAAAAGCTCATACTTTTGAGCATTACTTTATTCCTGGAGTGCTGAAGAACTAACTTTTATGTGATCTCAGTTAATGTTTGCAATATCCTCTATTCACACAACCCTATTTTCCTCATCCTCATTTTATAGATGCTGAAATTGGAGATCACAAAGGCGCACTAACCAACGAACAGTAAAGCCAGAATTTGCCCTCAAACATGGGTGATTCTAAGCTATGCTCTTAGTATAGCTTAAGCCTAAGCTCTTAGTAACTAACTAATACATGCCCTGTGGTATGGTGTTGCTGCTTGTCATGTATTTGGTTCTAGGATCTAACTATGTTTCACTTTGTGCATGTGGATACATTTAATTTCTGTTTATTACTTAAGTGTTGATTACCACATCTTTACAGGAAACCCTGCAAAAATACGGTTACCTCTATGATCTGTCCCGGTCAGAAAAAGAGAAACTTCGTGATCAAGCCGTGGCTATTTGTTTAGATGGTCAGCCTCTAGGAATGATTCAGCAGCTGCTAGAGGTGGCAGTTGGCCCTCTTGACATCTCTCCCAAGGATATAGTGCAGAGTGCAATAATGAAAATAATTTCCGCATTGAGGTAAGCTAGAAATTAGTCATTGCGGAAAACCTCAGGTGACACTTTGTCAGTAATGGTGCCTGCTAACGGTTGCTAAACTATCATATATAAATAAATCACTTATAAATTTTGAAGGACTTTACAAAAGTGAGAGATTATTTTTAGAGTTCTCATAGTCTTATGTCTTCGGAATGGAGACCATGAAATGTCTCATTGTTGGTATTGTGTATGACATCTTAAGAAGCTACGTTGTAATCCCAGCACTTTGGGAGGCCGAGGCGGGTGAATCACGAGGTCAGGAGATCGAGACCATCCTGGTAAACATGGTGAAACCCCGTCTCTACTAAAAATACAAAAAATTAGCTGGGCATGGTGGCGCGTGCCTGTAATCCCAGCTACTCAGGAGGCTGAGGCAGGAGAATTGCCTGAACCCAGGAGGTGGAGGTTGTGGTGAGCCGAGATCGCGCCATTGCACCCCAGCCTGGGTAACAAGAGCGACACTCCGTCTCAAAAAAAAAAAAAAAAAAAAGAAGCTACGTTATTTCTGGTTGGACCCCCTTTTACAACCTTCTCTTGAAATAAGGGAAAGGCCAAAATGGCATTTGACACAGGTAAGTAAGTTTCAGACTGTCCTGGGACTTCAATATGGTTTTTCAGATTTTACCATTTCTAATTCTCATTCTTTGTAGTAGTGGGAAAATGGTTCCCAGAAGGTTCTTTTGAAAAACGCAAGGCAAGGTTAATCATATACTGCTGATGTTAGACATCTGCAAAGTGTCTTTAGACATTATTTACCTGCAATTAATGGCACAGAACTGACAATTGAGAAATTCTTGCTTTGTGTCGATATTCGGGTACCTTTGTAGGAATGTATCCAAGAGGATTAGAAAAGAGGGAAAAGTGAAGCTAAGAAAATAATGAGGCATCAACTGCTTTCCGTGAATAATGCAATTAGGCTAAAAGATTTAGTTATGTTTAATTTATTCTCCTTTTAAGCATTCTTTTTAATTCTGTATTGCTCTTGAGGAACTTTTTGATTAAATGCATGTCAGTTTTCTGCAGCTGAACTGAAATCAAATGAGCCTTTATCAGTCTAATTACCCCAGCCTCATACAGTTTTTACCTTAATGCTCTGAGGTATCTATCAATTTTATATATAGGCAGATATATAGAATTTTATAACATTTTGTAAAAGAACACATTTCAAATTAATAAAGCTTTATTTTATTGTTTGCTTATTATGAGTTTTAGATGTCTGTTATAAGAACCAGTGTCCCCTTTCAAATGATGACAGATATGTTTTGGCCACATTTTGTACCTTTTGGATTCTCGTTATCTTTTTATTATTTCTTTGTTTTCTTTATTATACTTCAAGTTCTGGGGTACATGTGTGGAACGTGCAGGCTTGTTACACAGGTATACATGTGCCATGGTGGTTTGCTGCATCCATCACCCCCCTCATCTATGTTAGGTATTTCTCCTAATGCTATTTTTATTATTTGTTAAACCAAGTTTTAGAGGGAGCTCACAAAAATATGCATTTGGAAAATTAGTTTTTGATGAATTTCGTTTATTTCTTAAAAATTGCCCAGTTTCATGAATAATTAAAATATGATGAAATAGTTTTACATTTATAATTTTTTGACATAAATTATACTTCCCTTTCCCTGCATCCAATTCTACCACTAAAGATTTGGTTCTGATGTAGTAAATGATATACTTGGTACACAGAAGACATTCAGTAAATGTGAATTAAATCTTCAAGCAATGGAAGGAAAAGGGAACTTAAGGAATTCAGCTGCCTCTGTTTCTAAGGAAAAGAAATTTTTATTGACAGTATTTATAACATTTACCTTTTAGGAAGTTAATAAAATTTAGTAGGTACATGAAAGTAACCAAATCTAGTAGTTCATTTATATCATTAAATTATTTGAAAAACTTATCTAAAATATTTTTTTTCCTTTATTGCATTTTCAGGATTCACTAGGTTCTACACATAACATCTGTAAAATGGGCATAATAATAGTACTTGTCTCATAGGGTCTTGCGTTTAATACGTGGCAAAATACATGTGAACTATTTAGCAATGCCTGGCACTTATTAGTAGCAAATAAATATTAGTACTTTTTTAAAAAACTTCAACTGGAGGATTTAAATCATTGTTACATTTAATACTTAAACTAGCTCATTCATTTAATGTTCAATGAATATTTTTTGAATGACACAGTGCAAGTAGATTGTGTTATTCTCTTGATAGGAAAAGGTGCATATATTAGACTGAGCTCCTTAAGAGCAGAAAATGTTTCATTAGCACCTAGTGTAGGGCTTGGTACATTTGTAAATAATGACATAGCACAAATGACTATGGGTAGGCGGTATACTATGCCAAAATCCAACCAGGTTCATTTGAATATGTGAATACCAAGTTTATTTCTGAGACTTGCGTGATCCTTTTCTGAATCAGTTTCTCTCTCTTTTCACAGTGGAGGCAGTGCCGACCTTGGTGGGCCAAGGGACCCACTGAAGGTTCTGGAAGGTGTTGTTGCAGCGGTCCACGCCAGTGTGGACAAGGGGTAAGACTAGAATAGTATTATTAAATGGCCTTCTTCATTAAATGGCTTTCCTCAGAGTCTTAGAATTGCTCTCAGTATCCTTATGTATGAGGCTTCCAAGACTAAGTCACATTTTTAGGTGTTTTCTGAAGGAAGAACTGAGGACCTGCATGGGCAAAGAGCGGCTCTGCACCTAGAGACCTGGTGTTCTTAGCTCTGTGCTGACCCCACCGGCTCCAGGTCCTGCTTGCCACGGAGAGCATTGTTTTCTCTTGCCTCCTTCATAGCCATTAGAAATAATAATCATTCTGTCAGGGCAGAAACTGCTCTGAGCTTCCTACAAGATAAGGTATTCTCATCTCCAGCACATTAACTCTATCGATTAAGTATGGAAATTCCTAGTTTGAGTGTATATGTTCTTTTTAAAAAAGAAAAAAAAAAAACTCTGCCTTGTTTTAGGACTCAAAGTATACAGGCTTTATAAGCCTAGAAGGATGCTACTTTTAGAAAGGACTTTTAGAAAGAAATTTTCATTCAGTTACAGTGGTATTGATAAGAAAAAGGGCAACCACAGATGAACAGTTATGCACGTCCTCAAAGTTTACAAAGGCCTTTCCTATGCCTAATATCCATGTCAGCCATATAAGACCTCTCCCCAATTTTCCTTTTTTAATTGGAAATATGATAGAGTATAATGAAGATGGGTTTGAGAAAACTCCTCATAGTTCCACTTGGTAATATAATTCTTTTTATTTGCATGTTGCCTACCAGTTATTATTCAGGTACAGATATCTTTTCATATTGTTTCAATTGAAATGTCTAGACTTTTGTATTCTACCTTATTTACTTGCTATTGTAACACTTTCCATTGATCTTTGTAGATTTAATGATTACTGTGATTATTATTTCTAACGGCTGTATATGTTGTTGCCATTTTCAGAGGAGGACCTAAAAGCTCAGAGAGAGGAATTGACTTGCCCAGAGTCATAGAGCTGGGAAATAGAACCAGGATTCCACCCGGGCTCTAAATGATAACATAGTACTCAGATGCTGATGCCTTCACTCTATTTCCCTGTGTTGCTTTGTGCACAAGGTTTGAGTGACAGACTGTAGAATGAGCTATGTAGGTGAAGATGGAAAATCACTGCAAGCAGGGGCCTCTGCTTCCTGTGCCTTTTACCTGGCAGTGTTTCTAAATCCCTTTGCTTATAGTTCTTCAGATTGGAAAGTCCCTGTAGCAGTGGCTTATTTTGTCCCCACATTTTAAAAAGAAATGAATGATTCATTGGGTTTACTGTGTGCCATGCTGTGTGATAAGTCACAAAGGGGTCACATGGGTAAGAAATAACCTCTAACCCTAAGGAGTTCACAGTCCTGCCCGGGAGATGAACTGGCCTGTAGCCATTGTCACTGTCCTGTACGGAAGTCAGAGTGGAGGGAGTAGTGGGGCTGGATACGCAGGGGTGACACAGAGCAGGTCAGTGAAAGAAGAGTCTGTTTTGAGGAGGTAGATGAGGGTATTTCAGGCTGAGGAAGCTGCCTGAGCAACTGCACACGCAGCAGGTAGCAGAGCAGGCAGAGATGCTGCATGGGAAACGCTCACCCTCCTCCCAGGGCCCATCTCACTGCTGCCATCTCATTCCCAGCTTGTCAGTGAGTTCTCAGCCATCAGCTCCTAGGGAGCTGCCTTCAGCAGTGCAGCTTCTCTTAGGCCAGGTTGACTCTGGATCCTGGCCTCCCAAGGGTCTCAACAGGTACTGTTTTAGGCCCCTTTAAATTGGGCTTCTTAGTCTTGTCTCACTGGGACATCTCAAGAATATTAAAAGGCAATGTGTTTTCTTAGTGAATTTCTAGCCACATATACAGAAGAATCCACTTTGAGACTCACTCTAATACAGACTGTTTTTTAAGGTTGGAAGAAGATGTTAGGGATTGGGGAAACAGAACAAGATCTTACTTTTTATTCTAGAGACACAGAATAACAAAGCCGTCTTAACAACAATAACAAAAAAACTTCAGTGAACTTTTCTTCCTTTTGCCTAAAAAACAGAAGAAAGGCAAAGCCATAACTTTAATTTTGGCAAGTACTTTTTGGATCTGCAGTTAAACCTGACACTTTTTGTTTGGGTTTCTCTTCCCAGTAACGTGCGTGGCAGTATTATGTACCTAATTTCTTTTTAAGCACTTTATGCATTACTCATATATCTTCTTCATCTTCTTTTTTTATTTTTTTTATTTTTTGAGATGGAGTTTCGCTCTTGTTGCCCAAGGGAGTACAATGACACGATCTCGTCTCATTGCAACCTCCACCTCCCTGCCTCAGCCTCCCGAGTAGCTGGGATTACAGGTTCCTGCCACCACGCCTGGCTAATTTTTGTATTTTTAGTAGAGCGGGGTTTTGTCATGTTGGGCAGGCTGGTCTCGAACACCTTACTTCAGGTGATCCACCCACCTCGGCCTCCTAAAGTGTTGAAATTACAGGCATGAGCCACCGCACCCAGCCCACATATCGTTTTATCTTTTTATGTTGGTGCAAATATTATTTGCTTTTATTAAATTAAATTTTTTTATATTATTTAGTTTATACATAATAATTGTACACGTTTATGTGGTACAGTGTAATGTTTCTTTTTCTTCTTCTTTTTTTGAGACTGAGTCTCGCGTTGTTGCCCAGGCTGGAGTGCAATGGTGCGATCTCGGCTCACTGCGACTTCCGCTTCCTGGGTTCAAGTGATTCTCCTGCCTCAGAGTCCTGAGTAGCTAAGATTACAAGTGCCCACCACCATGCTCAGCTAATTTTTGTTTTAGTAGAGACAGAGTTTTACCATGTTGGCCAGGCTGGTCTTGAACTCCTGACCTCATGTGATCTGCCCACCTCAGCCTCCCAAAGTGCTGGGATTATAGGCATGAGCCACCGCATCTGGCCTATAATATTTCAATGAATGTATACATAGTATAATGATAAAATTGGTATAATTACCATATCCATCACTTTAAACATTTATCATTTCTTTGTGGTGACAACATTCAAATTCCTCTCTTCTAGTGATCTTGAAGTATACAATACATTGGTATTTGCTGTAATTCATCCTGCTATATAAATAAGACACCAAAACTTACTCTTCCTGCCCAATTGTAACTTTGTGCCTATTGAACATCTTCTCCCAGCACTCCCCACTTCACTCCCAGCTTCTGGTAACCACCATTCTACTCCCACTTCCATGAAATCAACTTTTTTAGATTCCACGTATGAGTGAGATCATGTGATATTTGCCTCTGTGCCTGGCTCGTTTCACTTGACATAATGTCCTCCAGGTTCATCCATGTTACTGCAAATGACAGGATTCCACTGTTTTGTGGCTGAATAGTATTTATATGTATGATATTTTCTTTATCCATGAACATTAAATGGGCATTTAGGTTGATTCCATATCTTGGCTGTTGTGAATAGCACTGCAATAATCATGGATGTGCAGAAGTTTCTTCAGCATACAGATCTCATTCCCTTTGGATATATACTCAGTTATAGGATTACTACATCAAATGGTAGTCCTATTTTCAATTTTAGGGACACCTCCATACTGTTTCCCATAACAGCAACTAATTTACATTCCCATCATCAGTGTATGAGGGTCCCCTTTTCTCTGCATCCTGGCCAGCATTTGTTATTTTTTGTCTTAACTGAGGGAAAGTGAAAACTCATTGTCATTTTGGTTACATTTCCTTGATGATTAGTGATGTTGAACATTTTTTTTCCCATAGATTTATTGGGTGTTTATATGTCTTTTTTTGAGAAATGTCTCCTCAGCTCTATTGCTTCTTTTAAGTCATATTGTTTATATTGAGTTGTTTGAGTTCCCTGTATATCATGAATATTAATGCCTTATCAGATGTGTAATTTACAAATACTTTCTCCAATTATATAGGTTGTCTCTTCACTTTATTGATTGTTTCCTTTGATATACAAAGCTTTATAGTTTGATGTAATTCAGAGTAATATCTGTTTTTGCTTTTGTTGCCTATGCCTTTGAAGTCTTATTCAAAATACCTTTGCTCAGTCCAATTTTATAAAATGTTTGTCTTATGTTTTCTTCTAGTAGTTTTATGTTTTTGGGTTTTACATTTAAGTCTTTAATTCATTTAGAGTTGATATTTGTAATATATGGTGAGAGAAGTCCAATTTCATTCTTTTTCATGTGGTTACCTAATTTTCTCAGCACCATTTATTGAAGAGACTGTCCTTTTTCCAGTGTGTGTTCTTGGAGCTTTTGTCAAAAATCAGTTGCTGTAAGTGCATGGATTAATTTCTGGGTTCTCTGTTACATTCCATTTGTATGTGTATCTGTTTTTATGTCACTACCATGCTGTTTTGATTACCGTAGCTTTGTTGTATATTTGAAGTCAAGCAGTGTGATGCCCCCAGTTGTGTTTGTTTTAGGTATCCAGGGTCTTTTGCCTTTCCATATTAATTTTAAGATTTTTTTTTCTGTTTCTGTGAAGAATGACATTGATATTGTGCTAGGGATTGCATTGAATCTGTAAATCACTTTGGGTATTATGGATGTTTTAACAGTATTCTTCCAATCCATGAACATGGAATATCATTCCATTTATTTGTGTCTTCTTCCATTTTTTCATCAGTGTTTTATAGTTTTCATTGTTGAGGTCTTTTACCTCCTCGGTTAAGTTTATTATTAAGTATTTTTTTCACAGCTGTCTTATCAATGAAATTGCTTTCTTAATTTCTTCTTCATATTGTTTGCTATTGGCATATAGAAATGCTGCTGATTTTTGTATATTGATTTTGTATCTGCAGCTTGACTAAATTCATAATAGATGCTGAAAAAGCATTCCATAAAATTCAACATCCCTCCATAATAAAACTCAACAAGCTGAATATGGAAGGAACATAACACAGTAAAGCCCATCTGTGTCAAACCCAGAGCTAACATCATACTTAATGAGGAAAAGTTGAAAGTTTTTCCTCCCAGGTTGGAAGAAGACAAGGATGCCCATTTTCA